CTTCAGATGTGAAGGAAATAAGCAGCTATCCTGTCTTTAAAAGACATCTGAAGGCAGCCCTGTTTAGGGAAGTTTTAAATATTTAACGCTGTATTGTTTTAAACACTTGATTGGAAGCCGCCCAGAGTGGCTGGGGAAACTCAGCCAGATGGGCGGGGTATAAATAATAAATTATTATTATTATTATCAGCCAAGGCCCATCTAGCCTTTCATTCTGTTTCGGCTCATTTCCATCCATAATGCGCAGAGACAATGGCGATCACACTGGACAGGTTATATGTGCACTTGTTCCTGTGATTGAAAACCCACATGCACAATTGTGGAGCAGCCGTGTGGAGAGGCTGATGGCCACATTTCCACATAGACAAAAATATAAAGTAAAAACAAAACAGTATCATATAAACAGAGGTGCAAACGTAAAATAAGTAAAACAGTATTATAAAAACAGAAATCCAGAGTCAAGTCTTCCGGGTCAGGAAAAGCCTGGGAGATATCAGAACGATGGGAAAGTCCCAACCAAAGTGTACAATTTACACGAATTCAGAGTTTCCATATTCCAGATTAATATACGTCAGGGCCAGACTTTTGTACCACAGCTGGCCAAACCTGAATCTATACATGGAATGTGTGCTCTCCTGTTGCTGCGACTGGAGCTTGAGATTTTTCCACTTTGTTGAGCAGGCAAAAGTAGAAAGCCAGCCTCCTCATAGGTATATTAGGTCTGGGCAATCTGAAGGCTTCATACTTAGGGCTAGTGCCAGGGGTCAGTATGGTTGGGCAGCTGCCAAGGCCCCAGTTTCTGGGAGTAGTCACCCCTGACCTATAGCTGTACAACAGCAACCACCACCAGTACTTGCCCTTTTTGGAAAGCAACAGCAGTGGGACTGGACAATGCCCTGGGGGGAATTGGTTTCCACTTCTCCGTGACAGCTATTGTTAGGAGCAATAGTCGCCCAGAAGAATTGGATAGGTGTCATCATCATCAGCTGCTCCTAGCCACTGCCACCAATCACTCTCTTACTTGCCCTCTCCCTTTGGGGATTGATAGTTGTTGTGGTGGTGGTTTAAACCACTGGGCCTCTTGGGCTTGCCGATCAGAAGGTCGGCAGTTCAAATCCCCATGATGGAGTGAGATCCCATTGCTCTGTCCCTGCTCTTGCCAACCTAGCAGTTCGAAAGCACACCAGTGCAAGTAGATAAATAGGTACCACTGTGGTGGGAAGGTAAATGGCATTTCCATGCACTCTGGCTTCTGTCACAGTGTTCCATTGCACCAGAAGCAATTTAGTCATGCTGGCCACATGACCCAGAAAGCTGTCTGTGGACAAACTTCAGCTCTCTCGACCTGAAAGCGAGATGAGCGCCACAACCCCATAGTCGCCTTTGACTGGAATTAACCATCCGGGGGTCCTTTACCTTTACCTTTACCTTCTAGCAGCCACTGCCGCTCAGCCATTGCTTGTGTAGAGAGGTGAGGCAAAGCAGCAGCCGCCACCACCTACCCGTTGTCCAAAACATAAGGAGAAGGAGCTTTCAAGGATGACACTGGCAAGCTCCACCAGTGTAATCCCAGCAGCCTACAACCAGCCCTCTTTATACTTCCTGATGTAATGCTGCACAAATCTTTCCCCACTGGAAAATAACCTTCTAGGTCCTCAAGCCACAAGGCTGCCCAAGAGTCCCTTGCAATCTGGAATACATCTGTGTATGTGGCAGTGTTTCTTTCGGATACCACCAGTTCACTGCTTTCTCTCCTACTACTATTTTCCTCAGCTCACATTCCAGTATAAGCATGTTCAGAAATGATTGGCTGTTGCCTGCAGCCAGGCAAGCAATCAAAACAATCCAAAACCCAATAAATTCTCTGCTATGCTTCAATCAATCTTTATTCTCTCTGCGCTTATCAACACAATCTGCAGATTTGGCATCTCTCTCTGTATTGTGTTTTGCCTCTGTGCATCTTGGAGTTTGTCTTGATCGTGATTAAGCACTAATTATTTCTTTGTATGTGAAAGTGTGAGTGAGTGTTTATAACAGATGGTTGCAACATTGCACTGAGAAAAGGATGTGGAGCCGAATGTACATTTTGATGGGCTTCCTATAATTGGAATAACACTAGGTAATGCAATACCCCCTTCAGGGTTTTTTTGGGGGGGGGGGACACCCCGCTCTTGCCACTAAATGTATTCTTAAATGTTTAATTTTGGGGCTGTATATTTGTATTTTTCACATATCAGAAGGTGGGTGATTTTACAACAGACCATTCGAACTAAGACATTTCGCTAAACCTTACCATAGTTGAAGGACACATTCCAGCCAGGCAAAAACACTCCAGGCAAGATGGAGGTGTGGTTAGCTAGAGGTGTGGCCTGGAGAGCATTCTGACAGGGAAGCGTGAAGGGCTATACTGTATTCGCCCCCGTACCTGATGCTTTCCAACCCTGTACTAAGGGCTGACATGTGTTTACATTTTCCCATATAGAGATCATCTTCATGCAGGAATATCTTTACCATAATATCTGATGTGAGATGCAAGTGGTCTTTTGCTCCAAGGTATAATCTGTCATGCAGCTGAATGCACACTAATCTATCTGGACCCCTCTACACACACCATGCAGGTAAGGTTTGTATATCTATATCCTAGCTAGATGAGAGGATGAGTACTCAGCTGCTTGTGACCTGCAATACTAGACCATGCCAGTCTTTGCTGCTCATCTGGTCTCCATCTTGATTCCACAATCTGATATGGATTTATGGAGGTTAGGATTAATTTATTGTGAGTTTTGTCTAAGTTGCTTCTTTTTCCAAATTCAGAAACTTATTTCACTGATATCCATGTGTCCTAATAACTATCTGTCTATCTATCTATCTATCTATCTATCTATCTATCTATCTATCATCTATCTATCTATCATCTATTATCATCTATCATCTATCATCTATCATCTATCTATCATCTATCATCTATCATCTATCTATCATCTATCTATCATCTATCTATCTATCATCTATCTATCATCTATCTATCTATCTATCTTTGATTCTAAAAAATATAAACACACAATGAACATCAATTCAAAATCCAAATACTGAGATTACTCTGAATCTCCTGTCTTCTCCCCATCCCTTCCATGGGTCCTAATAAAAATAATTACAATGGCATATCAATATTTATCCAAATATTTTTCCTTCTAGATTGTCCATAGTTTCCGTTACTTTAAAAGTGTGATTAAAATCCTGCCAGTGTTTTAACCTGCTTGCAGTGGTCTCGTATTTAAATTATAAACTTTCCCCATGCTTTTTTAAAATTCTTGTCTTCTTGATTTCTGAGCTTCCCAGTTAGTTTTGCCATTTCAGCATAGTCCATCACCTTGATTTGCCATTCTTCTCTGGTCGGGGTTGACTCTTCCTTCCATCTTTGGACCAGTAGCATCTGTGCGGCTGTTTTCGCATACATAAACAATCATTTATTTATTTATTTATTTATTTATAAATAAATAAACAATCTTTGGGATCTTGGTACCTATAATTCCTAGTGAGAAAGCTTCTGGGTTTTTTTTAACACATGTTTTTTTCATTTCATTATATATCATCTCCCAAAAGTTTTTTACTACTTTACACGTCCACCACATGTGACAAAAAGTACCTTCTTTTTCTTTACATTTCCAGTAAGCTAATAACTACCAGCATTCCCCTAAAGTTAGTTCTCAGAGCACGTTTTCTCAGGAAAGGCAGTATACAAGTATCACAGGCATTTATAAACAAATTAACATGATAACTTGAAGTTTCTTGTCAAAATATTCCTGTAAACGTATTGTAAATTACTACCTAAAACTATAAAATACAGTTGCAACACAGATCATTTAACTTTCTGGGAAAAGCTCTTGTATAAAAAATGTTTTTACATGAAGCGGAAAGGAAACAAGGAAGCTGTTTATGGATCTTTCTAGACAAGGAGCTCCTAAGGGTGACTGCAGCTACAAAAAAAAGGCCCACTCCATATTCTAGTAAGTATCACTTCTGACAAAGAGGAAAAGCCTTCACTCTAGAAATATACAAGGCGTAAGATATGTGTTTTTGCGTTTGTTGCTGTAATCATCCCTTTTCTCAGTGAGCATAGAAATACATTTATGTTTATTTAAGTTATTTGAGATGCTGTACAATTTGGATGCAGACTCAAATGCATCCTGTCTGAAATGCAATTTTCCTTTTTAACTGCTACTGCACATGGAAAAGCTGTTACGCACCATGGGTTGTAGTAGAACGGCAGAGCACTTAATGCACCCATTCTCAGAAGTCTAGAATGGTCATCCTGTATAAAACAAATATTCAAAATCCATCAGTACAGTTTAGTTCATCTGGATTGGTTGCTGACCCTGAAGTTCAGAGCAACAGCACTTGTATTAATAATGCAAAACAGGAAGGGAAATGCATATTAATTACATTTGCAAACTGCAGTAAGGAGGCAATAATTGCCAACATTAGGGACAATGGGGAAAGAAAATAAACAAACTTGAAGCAGCTAGAAACATCAACAGGAATGAAATAATTCTTCAGCCTCGCGAAGTTTATACTAGGTGATATTGTATATTTTCTCCACCACCCAGCTTCATATAAAAGGCTATGCAGAATGAAAAGTAGAATAATGTGAGGCAGAAGACCAGGGGAAATGTTGGTGGTACTTGCCTGTTTAAACACTTGCCTGTTGTGAACATCAAATGGCTCTGAAATAGCTGAAAGTGAAATTGGAAATCCATATGAAGACCTATCTTTTCATTGAATGTGATAGTGGAATCCTGGTGTTTGTGCTCAATAAATGCCAAACGAGACATTATGTGGGAGATCCTTAACCAAGATCTCTTGGGGTTTTGAAAAAGGTCCATAGCAACCGCGTCAGAACTGGAGAAGAGGGGCAACCTTTCCCCATTCAGTGCTACATTCTAATTTTCCCCTTGAAGTTGCTGTTTGCACCCTGTGAGAAAAGATATATGTTCCTTGCAGGGCAAAAGCAGTCTCTCTCTCTCTCTCTCTCTCTCTCTCTCTCTCTCTCTCTGTGTGTGTGTGTGTGTGTGTGTGAGAGAGAGAGAGAGAGAGAGAGAGAGAGATTTTAATCAGCAAAATGGCAACAAGATCTTGATTTACCAGCTGCAATTAACTTTTTTTAAAAGGGAGAATGTGACTAAGGATCTTCTGCAACGTCCCCAGTTGTACCCTAAATCTCTTGCTTTGGTCCCTGCTTTAAACTGCAAAAAACAACAGGTTTATCACACTTTGCTTGCCCTAGTAAACAGTACTGGTGTGGGCTGCATGGGATAACGGAGTGATGTAGGATCAGTACCATGGACAGCGGCAGGAGAGAACTCTATCCATGATCTCAGAAACAAGCAGAAGCCTATGCTGCAACCTGCAGCCAAACCTTCCTCGCAGCTTAAGTCATCTTCAAAAAGCAGAAGTTCTTGGGCTTGCTCCAGTGGCATGGCTGAACCTAAGGAGGTAGGTGAAGTCTCTGGTGAGGTTCAGTGAGCTGTGAGCACTGACATTTACTCCTAGTGCTTTTTCCATTCTCGGGATGTGGGAGAAGGTGACAGTAATAATAATAATAATAATAATAATAATAATAATAATAATTTATTTATACCCCACTCACCTGGCTGGGTTTCCCCAGCCACTCTGGGCGGCTCCCAACAGAATATTAAAAACATCAAACAGGTCAATGACAGCGCCATTCTCTGAGTGTTCCATCAAATTCATTCAGGTAGCACAGATGGAGGTGACAGCCCCTCACACCATAACGAGCACAGTATTCGACTAACACAAAGACTTGGCCCAGGCTAAACCAACCCAAACAAGAATAGGAATCATTCAATCAGTGATCCCAGGTCTGCCTCTGAAGTACTCTAAAGAGTGCAGCATGGTCAAACTTGCAAGGATTAGCAGAAATAAACTCATCCATGCCATGTTTCTGAGCACGATCTGCATTCTACCACACATCTGCCTGCATGTTGCTTCCTTTTGAGTTCATCTTCTGGGCTTTACTTGCAGGAATGGGCTTATAGGACTGACCTGTTGCTCTATACATTGCCTGAACCCAGAGGATTCTATCTTGCTCGTTAAAAACATCAAACATTAAAAACTTTTCTAAACAGGGCTGCCAAAATGGAGGTGCAGGGACTGAACCAGTCATATAAGCCTGTTGACCATTACACATCTACCATCTTGTCTTTTCAGCCTCCACTGAAGACTATTCTTTCAGCAAGCCTTCTGAGATCTTTCTTAGTTGGCATCACTGATCTTGTCTCTAGAATTGTTGTTATTCACTAAAATTGTTGTTAAGATGTTTTACCGTAATTCTTTTTTATCACTCCAATGAGAGGATGATATACATAAATAAGCATATGCAGGCAGTTTAGCACAGTCAGCTGGCAATCGTGGACCCCGTTTTCTACTGGTATCTAATCCATCTTGGGAAATTGCTAGATTCTTTGGCCATGGCAGTTTCCTATGAGAGCTTCTGCTCTCGCTGCCCTCAAACTGTTATGGCTGCTGGTGGGAAGGAAGCCTCATACGAAAAGCAGTATTATGAAATGGAAGATAAAGGGAAGGTAGAGAAACACAAGGCAGAACAACAGGGGAAATGTGGGTGCTGCCAGTCCATTGAAAGCAATTAATGCAAACTCAAATGCAATTTTCCTTTTTAGCTACTGTTGTGAACTGAAATTGCTGCTGCATAGCATATTTCCAGTAACGCTGTGAAATAATTAATTCACCCATTTTCAAAAGTCTAGAATGAGAGAGGCAACATGGTGCAGTGGTTAGAGTGTCAGACTATGATCTGGGAGACCTGGGTTCAAATCCACACATAGCCATGAAGCTTGTTGGGTGACCTTGGGCCAGTCACTGCTTCTCAGCCCAAAGGGTAAAGGTAAAGGGACCGCTGACTGTTAAGTCCAGTCGCGGATGACTCTGGGGTTGCACCGCTCATCTTGTCTTAGTGACCGAGGGAGCCGGCGTTTGTCCGCAGACAGCTTCCAGGCCATGTGGCCACCATGACTAAGCCACTTCTGGCAAACCAGAGCAGTGCACGGAAACACTGTTTATCTTTCCGCCAGAGCGGTACCTATTTATCTGCTTTCACTTTGTGCTTTCGAACAGCTAGGTTGGCAGGAGCAGGAACTGAGCAACGGGAGCTCACCCCATCGCGGGGATTCAAACCGCCGACCCTCTGATCGGCAAGCCCTAGGCTCTGTGGTTTAACCCACAGCGCCACCCGCTTCTCAGCCTATCCTCCCTCAAAGTGCTATGGGATGTTTAGAATGTGCATCCTGTGTAAAACAACAAGAAAGTTTACTCTTCATACAGCCACAAAACATTTTGAAGGGGGATGGGATTGTTCTCCTCACTCCCAGCACCCATGTATCCAGTTGAAGATTTGTGCAAAGAGGTGGTTGTCACCAATGGAAGCGAAGGCTCAGAAAAAGCTCAATATGGAGGCCAACCGGCCGAAATATTGGGAAATTTTGGAACAAGAGGGAGACAGATTAAAACTGCAGAGTTTTGAAAAACTAAAAAATAGAGTGCGAGACTGGCTCCATTATTACCAATTATATCCAATTTGGATAAAAAAATTGGCTTCCAGGTGGGAAAATCAAAACTGGAAACAGAACTGTTAGATCCCAAAACTAAGAACTTGTCAAGAATGTATAACTTGCTGTTGAAATGGAATACCCAGGATGAAATGGTGAAATCAACTATGATTAAATGGGCACAAGACGTAGGACATAATATTATGATGGCTGACTGGGAACAGTTATGGACCACAGGTATGAAGTTTACGGCATGTAATGCCTTAAGAGAGAATATAATGAAAATGATCTACAGGTGGTACATGACACCAGTAAAGCTTGCAAAAATATATCACTTGCCCGATAATAAATGTTGGAAATGTAAAGAGACTGAAGGTACATTTTTTCACCTTTGGTGGACGTGCCCAAGGATTAAGACATTCTGGGAGATGATTTATAATGAAATGAAAAAGGTATTTAAATATACCTTCCTGAAGAAACCAGAGGCCTTTCTCCTGGGCATGGTTGGCCAACTGGTGCCAAAAAAGGATAGAACTTTCTTTATGTATGCTACAACAGCAGCAAGAATACTCATCATGAAGTATTGGAAGACACAAGATCTACCCACCCGGGAAGAATGGCAGATGAAGGTGATGGACTATATGGAACTGGCGGAAATGACTGGCAGAATCCAAGACCAGGGAGAAGAGTCGGTGGAAGAAGATTGGAAGAAATTTAAAGTTTATTTACAGAAACATTGTAAAATTAAGGAATGTTAGATGGATGTTGGAATGAAGTAATGTGGTTTTAGCAGAAATGCTATAGAGGATTAAGAAAAAATAGATTTTTAAATGGTAAAAGGGGGGAAAGTAAAGTTACATTATATTAAGATAAAATATAGGACAAAAACTGGAAAAGATGGAAAGGATTTGCTGAAATAGCTAACTGAACTAGAATATAAAAAAGGGAGGTGTGAGGAGGTCAAGGAAATAAGTAAATGAAAGATAAGTTATGGGAAGATTCATTGCATTTTTTAATTTTTTTGTTATTGTTTTTTTTCTTTTTTCTTCTTCTTTTCTGTATTGTGATGTGATGTTCTGTTTTTGCTTAATATGCTGTTTTCTATTTTTCCTTTTTCCTTTCTGTAACCTTTCAAATCTTAATAAATAGTATTAATATATATATATATATATTTGTGCAAAGAGTACTCTACACACCTATCTAAACATGCCTAGGTTTTGTTCTGTTGGAAGAAAAGCAGGATCCCCAGTGTAGTGATGTGTTTAGATCAGGGGTCAGCAACCTTTTTCAGCAAGGGGCTGGTCCACCGTCCTTCAGACCTTGTGGGGGGCCGGACTATATTTTGGAGATAGAAAAATGAACAAATTCCTATGTCCCACAAATAACCCAGAGATGCATTTTATGTGGGAATGTTTAGGGATGCGGGGAAGGTTATATATTGCCTAAGATATCCTATCCCAACTTGTCTTTACAAGTTCAACAAAATCAGCAGAGTTAACATTCCCCCTTTTAAAAACACGCACAGCAGATAGCTTGCCCAGACTCATAAGAGTCTCTGTAAATATTTCCTGGTATTTCCCCCGTTTAATCCCTCCTAAAATAAGACACTACACAGTCTTCTGTAAAGTATAAAACGTTTATTCACAAGCAATCATCTGTTCACACAATGGTTCCTAGAAGGCAGACTTAAAAGGTTAGAACATAGTTGAAATGTGGTGGCTATCTCCTTATAGTCTTTTCTTCTCTTGGCCTGGAGCCAAGGGTGCATTTTAGTAGTGATGTTGTTAAGATGGCATCGATAGAGATAAGATAAGATGGTCACCAGCCTGTGGTTCTGGTTCTTTCTACTTCAGGAGAGGCCACGCCCATCTCAAGTTACACATAGGAGGTTTCGTCTCAGTCCTGGAAAGCAGGAAGTTCCGGCTGGAGGACTGAGACAACCTTCCTGTCTACTCTAGCATGTTGTGTTTGACTGCACCTGATTCTTACACCCCACATTTTAAATGAAAGGACACGTTCTACTCATGTAAAAACACGCTGATTCCTGGAATGTCTGCAGGCGGATTGAGAAGGCGGATTGGGCAGCGTCTGGCATCCAGGCCTTAGGTTGCCTACCCCTGGTTTAGATGCAAGGAGAGGATATATTTATTAGATATTATCCTATCCTTCCTTGGTGAGTTTGGCAGAGTGCCATCCCTTTGCAACTTAAAGGGAATCTTAGATAAGCTAGTTTTAGCCTTTTAGTTTAGGTAATCCAGGATGCTTTAAGGCAGACTGGATTCTCCTGGCGTTCCCCCCTTTTCTCCCCCTTCAAACAACAATCACACAAACAGCCTTGTAAAAGCTAAAAATAACATTTACTCGCTCAGTATTTCTTGTTGAAGAATAACAGATGACAGTGGCTTTGTTCAGGCAGGCTTAAAATGGTAATTCAGTTACAAAGACCTATTTTATAGTCTAGTTTAAAATGGTGTCTGAGCGATGGAGCTCAGAAATGAAGATGTTCTACATTGCTGGAATGAGCTGAAAGAG